AATTTCAACATGTTTTTATGTCTTTTTCGAATCGATTTGAAAACGTTTGTCTGATCATGAAGTAGAAGTTTTTATTCAATAAAACAAATATTTTTTTAATTTCCTATATCCTTTTTTGGAGTGTATGAGCATAGCATAAATACTCTCCCATTTCGCAGTTTTTGTTGACTAATTTTTTGTGGTCTTCGAAATGTAATTTGGTAACTTTTGCTTGCCACAGCAAATATATTCGCCAGTTTGTGCGAATGGACACGAAATGCCGTGTCTAACCAGAAGTTGGTCGACTGCCTGCAGAACGCCATTTGGATACGCCCACTTTATGCGCTAACTTGCAGTTTTCAGCCAACTTTTATTAGCTTTTCCGCTAATTGCTTCTAATTTAATTAAATTAAAACAAAACAACTAAAAAAAATTGCGACCCTCAGTCCGACTCCTGGCGCTGAGTTGGCACAAAACTTAACCATGTGTGTTTATGTATGTGAGCGTGTTTGGCTATATGCGTTCCGCATAATAGTTTAGCTATAAATTTTGTACGTCTGCTTGCATTTTGCAGTCAAATATTTTATAACTAAATATTTGTTTAATTAGTCCGAGTGCTCGCAACGTCGTGCTGCACTCTGTGGCTCTCTTGTGGCCATTATGAGAATTGCTTTGAAATTCAGTGGCAAATGAAATGAACTTTGAATCTGATGAGAACAACTCCTTGATCCACTATCACCCGCGGCAGAAGTCTGAGAGCAAACTAATATCACCAATCTCAAGATCAACTGAGTCTTGCCTGAATATAATACATGTATCAAAAATATTCCCACAATTTTTATTTGTTGCACTTTATAACTCCTTCGTTTCTCAACCTGTCTGTTCTGTGCTCGTCTTAAAAATAATTTTAGCTAATATCTCATTCTTCTCTTTAAATACATATAAATATTTCATATACATATTCCTTCCATGGAAGTTCACTTCCCAATCATTGCATTCTACTCCGTGTAACTAAGATGTAATTGACTCGAGTCATTATAAAAGTCAATTTGTTTCCTGTCTTGTTGATTTGTTTGAATATAATAATTAAATATTGATATATGTAAGTCCATTTAAGCACAATGTAATATAAATTTATTGCTTACAAGTGCTAGCAATTTATTTCAATTCTCTATCTTTTATTATTTAAAAGCTTGCTGTTGCTATATATCTAAAAGCCTCAGGTAAATGATAGCTTATTATAATTATTTTGTAATCGGGTTTTTTTTTCTTAATATAAATAGTTGAACAAATGAATATGTAAATATGCTTAACATCATACATATATAATGAATTTAGACAGATAAGACCATACTCTTTGGAAATATATCAAATATGAAAATTCTTATCGGCAGATTTCAGTTTTTTAAGCAATTTAAAAAATATTCTCCATTTAATTCCCATTCAATGTTTCAAATTCAAATATATTATTCATTTCAAAGATGAATTTCGAGAAATTTGTAGAAAACAATTAAATTTTATGCAATATTCGCCATGATTAAAGCATATGTGCAGCAATTCAGTTATTTATGAGCGGAATTTAAATTGCTGTCTATGTGCTGAATTTTCATTATCCGTGGACTATTTGTTAGTCCCGATAATTGCATAGCAACCGGAGGTGCCAAGGATATACAGGGATAATTAATAGGCGCCTACACATCAACCCCCGCCATTTGTCAGCTGTACGGCCATAGATCACATGGTTCGGCCAGAAGCTGATGGGGAAATGCGCTAGAAACCATATTGGTCTTCAAAACAATTTGTTGTGCTGGAGGAATAACAATAAGTAAAATTAATGAGCCAAAATGTAATTTTATAAATTGTAAAAAGCTTCCGGCGCATTAATTATCAAAAGACAGGAGAAAAAAGACCTTTTTCATGACATGCGGCACAACAAAAAACAAAAGCAAAACAAAAAGGACGCAAGCTGAAAAGCGAGTGAATAGAATGCATAAGGAGTGGGGGCTGCTGGAAAACAGGAAAACACAGCGAAAGTGAATTGCATGAAAGACAACAAAGCACAACGGGCAGAAAAAAAAAAAAAAAAAAAAAAACAAAACATACACACAAGCACACACAAACGAAAGCGTTGAGTGAAAAGATTGAAAGGCTAAACAAATTACAGCAGCCATTTTGAAAAGGCAAAGCAACACGCGAGCGGAGCGAAATAAGGGTGAAAGTGGATTTACTTTCGTCTACGTGACATGGAGCCATGGAGCTAGCTCTCTATGATTGTCGCTGATGATGAGCCAAAAATCTGCAAGGAGCAGGCATGCTGCGTGCAGCAGCCCACAGTTGCCACTCCCTTCCATTTTACTTCAAATCTATCTAAACGAGCACGAGACACGCATGAGGCGTTTGCCACCAGATTAATGTGCACGGCCAGAGCGTGCTGCGCGCTGTGTCATGGATCTGTGTGTGTGTGTGTGTGTGTGTGTGGGTGGGTGTGTCCTTGCTGTCAGTGGCAGTAGAAGACCCCAAGCAACCAAGCACCAGGCGTCAGGCAACATGGCGGCACCCTTGGCAGCGGCCATGATTTTCGAAATTAATTCGACTTGATTTTACTTTCTTGCTCGTTGTTTTTGTACGTTAGTTAAGGTAAGGGTTGAAGGGTTTGAGAAGCTGTTGCTGTCTGTGGTTTTTAGCAGACAAGAAATTAAAATTCATTTCAGACACGGCACACAGGGACATCCAACTGTGGACTACGGACTGCTGACTGCCGACTGCAGACTTTGGGCTCCCAGGGCAGTGCGCATTGTATATTAGAATATTTAAGGCGCAGCCTGAAAGTATGCAATGCGAGTTGTGGCCACCCCTTTGGCTATGGCCAAAACAACCCTCTTGGCCAGCCAAGCTAAGCAACCCTCGTACCCCCGTTGTTGCCTGAGTGGCTGAGTGGGTTTTTAGTGTTCGTTTTTCCACAATGGCCGCCGTTGGCTCGCCTTCATTGCCGGCTTCTTTTGTTGCCAGTCAAAAGTTTTCTATTGTTGTTGAACTGTCAGTCGAACTTTTGGCTTTTGTTGTCGCATTCTTTTGGCAACAAATTTGTTCACCCTTCACCCCAATACCCTGCGACCTGGCGACCCGGCGACCCTACTCAGCACCTGGTCATACATATTTTATTCTGCTCGACTTAATCGTTGCTTTGTTCTTGTGTCGTGTCTGCCAGCTGTCGTCTTTATTGCACATATCCATTAATATTCGCTGCTTCAGGTGCAGTTGCCATTGCTTTGACATCGTTTTGTTTTTCTTTTTCCCGTTTTTCGTTTCGCATTGTTTGAGACACTTTTGCATAAACTTGTGCCCCCAGCTGGCTGCCTGTGAGATTGAGCCGTTAAATCGCTGAGGCGAATCTGCCAACTGTGTTACAAATCATGAAGCCTGTCTGGCCTACAAGTAGGCAAGTGCTCTTGGCTCTTGTCTCGCACCACAGCGCTGCCCCACTCAGCCTGTGTCTGCGAAAAATGTGCCGTCATTTTATTTTATTTAAGTGTTCTCCCTTTTTGTGCTGGAAAGTTTTTAACCCTGTGCCGAGTCATAAAATTAAAACCATGTTGGACTCTTAGGGTGCGACTGATGTCTGCCCTAGACTCGGCTCAACTCCATGCCTGAGCTGTGCCTTTGAACGCAACTCCACCTATCCACCACTCACAGAGAGCTCTTTGGCTCCATAACCCCAACCGAGGGCTTCCCATAGCCGTCTGCTAGTGAAATCTGAATGCAAGCCTAACGACCTGGCATTGTTGTTGATAAGGACCAAACTGCTCGTCCACCTTTTTATCCTGTGGCCATGGAGCTAGCTTCGTCCGTCAGCCAGTCGGAGTGTCTTTGCTTTGCGGTGGTTGAAAATGTTTAATGTTTATGCAAAAGGCAAACTGGACATGGGAGCTCTTCCCTTTTCCTATTATGCACCTGTTTCAATTCTTTTTTTTAGGGGATTCTTGCTGAGCCTCAACAGAGAAGTATAAATATTTTGACTACTCATAAGTTTACATATCGAATATTTTGGTTTTTGGGCTAAAGTTAATTTCGATTTGCTGACGGGCTAATTGCAGCTCAGCACATAAGCTGAAGAAGATTAGAGCTAACAAGAAATCAATTTTCTATGAATAATAATAAATTAAATATTCGACTCAAATTTGTAAATGATTTTTAAATCGTATTTTTTTTTTAATGAACCATCAAAAATTTAAATTAAATATGGATGAAATTAAAAGGGATGTGAGGAATTTTTAAATATTTTTTGAGAGCATATTGAGTTAGTTAGAAACCAATTAAGCATCATTTGACCAATAACACATACAAAATAATAGCCAATCTTATATTAAATACTCTAGAATATAAATTAGCTTTGCATATTAAAAAAAATTGTTTTAAATAAATAAATAAAATTATCTATTCGAATTTATATTATATAAAAACCTTCTTCTAAAATTCAGTTTCTTATAGGATTCGCCAAAATTTGCTTACAAAATTCTAATTTGATTTGAGTTGGCTTTCTGATGTTCATTCAAATATGACATGCTTTCAAAAAGTTCAAAGCTTCATGAAAAGCTTTCTAATTTGAAATTTTTAGAAAGCATTTGGTGTTTTGCGGGCAAGGGTTGTTTTGTGCTTAGTGCAGCCAACAGCCGACAGATGGCGACAGAGGCTGCGCTTGCTCTTTTCCTGTACATACATAAGTCTAAACCCATGCTTATAATTAGATACATTACCTAATATGTTAGCAGCACCCATTGAAGTTGTATCCTCTCCGTATATCCATGGCCTCAGGTAGTTTTTTTTTAGTACAAAACAAAACAGTAAAACATTGTAAGCATTTTTATTCAAAGCATTTTAATACAACAAAGGGCATTTCTTAAGTGATCTACAAAAGCCAGGCAATCTACAAATGTCAACTAGGAGTACATACTAAAGCGTTTCTTAGAAGCTAGTTGGTTAGTGAGCGTCTATAAAAGCGAATAAATTAAAAGGCAGCGTACTGGCAGTGCACCGGGAGATCTGAAAAGAAAGAAGAGCAAACAAAACATTTAGAAAAGTTGCAATTTCGCTTTGGCTTTAACAAACAGCTGAGAAGGACCACAGGTCCTGCAAGGACTGGTTCCCTGTTTTCCTTTTGAATATAAAAGTTTACAACAAATTAAACTGGCTATATAAGGACAGTGTTAATTTCGTTAGAATACCCTGCAAAAATCTTAAAATTAGAGTCGACGTATTAAGAACAACTAAAATACTAAATTTACTCATAAATTATGATTATTTGAAAATAAATTGGATATTTTATACAATTTGTATTATCTAACTTTTATGTTTATAATTAAAAATAGAATACATTAATGTAGCAAGTTTTATTATAGAGTTTTTCTTAGTCGTAGCATACCTAAAACCATATAGAAAGCTTCTCCCCTTGTAGGTGTTGCCTTTGGCAGTTAAAAGTTTTAATAGAAAAATTCAGTTAATAGTTTTTAGCTTTGGCCGACGCTTCTCCTGCTGCTGCTGCTGTTGCTGCTGCAATGGATTTGATAAGGGACCTGCAGCAGGACTCTCATGCGAAAAGTTTATATTTGGGCAAACGTGGGGCTCGTGGTTGGTTTAGTTGAGCTAAGCTTTGTCGTAGCCCTGGTCCAGGCTGTCTAATTAATTAAAATCGCTTTTGTGACGTCGCCTCACACATACATCAAATTCCAGCTAAGCACCAAGATAAGCAAAAACGAAAAAGTTCCATTTTAATTTCCTGTTTGCTGATAAATAATGTGCCTTGTGCACACACACACGTAAACTAACTCACACTCACATAGATAGTCATATAGATAAAGATAAAGTAAAACACCGATAGAGACAGAGAGAGGGAGGGGAGAGAAAGAGACCGCTTGGTTCTCCTAACATGGTGTTATGTAATTTTAAAGCACCTAAAATATTAAAACCACCCAAAACACTCAGACAACCACCCACTGCGGGACCCAACTGGAGGAGCAGCCGCAGATAAGGCAGACGTCGCTGTGGCGACGGTAGCTGCACGTACCGGTCAGTATATGCGCAGGACACGTTGCCAAAGAGCTTAAAATGTGGCCCTAAAATAACTTTGACTGCCCTTCCAGATCCTGGCAGGAGCCCCCGTGCGCAAACAGCCAAACAAACTCGAACACACACACACCCACACAGAGCGAGAGTGCGAGGGGGAGAAGAGCGACGGAGGGAGAGAGCTGCTCCTAGGATTTGAAATCCGCTCGGCAGGCAACATTTTAACTGCTTGGGGGCATACATCAAAACTTTGGCTTACGCTTCGGATTTATTTATTTTCATATTTACAGAGGCCACACACACACACACACACACACACTCACTCATATCACAAATGAGCTGGGCAGGGAGCGGTGCGAGTTGACAAGGATCTCAAGGATTTGCAGCCATCCAAAGGGCAGCAGCAAGGCAGTCGGTAGACACGTAATTCTGACCACCTACATCTAATTCAGGCAACAGCGACCCGCGCGGCTCCAGCGGTCATAAAATGGCGCACACAAGGCACCGCGCTCACATGTCCTTCGCATGTGCACATGTATGTGTGTGCATGTGCTAGAACGAGGGCTGCTTACAAACCGATTTTATAGGGCAGCGACTTAGCGTTGTGAAATCTAAATTCTGTACATAACATAAATTAATTTGTAGCTGGAATTTACTTTCAGTTATAATTTAGTTATTATACTGGTTGATCTATTATCTTATTATTTCACAATATATATAATATTATAATAATGATGATGTAATATTATAAATATCAAATTTCAATGCATTTGATGGGAGAATGGGAGAATCGACTCCGCTGCAAGCAATCTGAGCGGCACAAGCAGTTCCAATTCATTATTCAGGCAATGCTCAGTTCAGAAAATGTTTCTATATGCATATTTCATATTAATATGTACATTCTATTATTTTCAATAAAATATTTTATATTTCATTTCCATAAATCATTTTTTTCTCGCTTTCTTTTCAGTTGTTTTGTTTGTGTTAATATAAACCATTAGCAATACTCTCTATATAAACGAAGCACGACTGCGCAGATCGTATATGTAACGAGTATCCTCAATCTAATCTAAGCACCCACCGAATATACCTCAAGCTTAACCGCAAACAGTCATATCATACTGTAATTTCGTAATATTATTTCTCTTAGAATGAAAATTTATTGCCACTTGAATAAAATTTAACTACGCATGTTCTTCGATCTCTTTATAGCAACTCAAAGAGTGGCCCTCGCTTGAGCAGTGTTGTGTATTTTAATGACTATGTGACCGCTCAGGCAGCTCGCCACGTGCGGCGTGTTCAGCCTTGGCTTGGACGGCTTACGCGGCGTATGAGCATTTTATCTGGTGGTGCGCATCTTTGCCCGAACAGCCTTCACTGAAGCGCGCGTGAACGAGATTTTATATTTGTAGCTATTAAGAAATGACATTAAAAAATGAAATAAAATGCCCAGCGCAGTTGAGCCCAGTCCAGTCCAGCTCAGCTCGATCCGGCCCGGCCAGCCTTCGCTCGAGCAGGAATCCCCACTTCCGCTCTGTATTTAAATGCGCCATTTGCATATTTATTAGATGTTGCTTCGTCTCGCTGTTGAATAGCTTTTAGACCCTGTCCGTTGAAAAATTATGAATACAGTTTTAAGACAGCGCGCAACATAATTATGTGCCTTTGCCACGCCCACGCCCACGCCCACGCAGGCCCAAGCATTTATAAAATGCAAACAAAAGTTAATTTAGACCCAGCTTTCATTTTACAAGCAATTTACTTTTACAGCGCCCAGCCCGAACCATTGCGACGGCCATTGCAGCCATTTATTGAAGCTCTCCAAAATGTCATTTGTGCTCGGATAATTTTGTTGTTGCTGTTTTATTTTTGTTACATTCAGCCTTGGTTTTTCATCCTTTTCACAAACAAATTTGCACTTCCACGCATTCATTAATTTGCTGATTATAAAAAAGGGACTTTCATTGAGTTATTCTTAAAGTGCGAAGGCTTTAACGAATACGAAACCCGCCTGGAGCAATCCAAGTGAAAAACTTATGCAAAGTGCCACAATAAATGCATATGACAGCATATCCTTTTCTCTGACAAGAAGAACTTTCTGCCCAGGCACGGCTAATGCATTATACAACCAGTTGTTGTAGTTGCAGTTGCAGTTGCACATGTCAAGTCACTACAAAGAGCGATATGAGTCTATAGCCGGGTCATTCCTGAAATCAGACTCGCCATGAAAGCAACTGAAATTTGAGAGGCTTTAGAGTGAAGATTTCAAAGATAGATAATGGATTATATAAAATAATAAAATTGTGTTCATCAACGATTCAAGAACTTAAAAATAGCGAAACTATGGCGAAAGAGATTTAAGAATTACAGGAGAATACTATCAACAACATATACATATGTATTCATATACATATATACCATATATCTATTTATATATTCGTGAAAGCTGTTGGGGCAATTCAAAATAAAGTAGAAGCAAAACTTACGCAGTGTGGCAAGTGTCTGGGGCAAGAGCGGGGGCAGAGCGCAGCAATTAGAAGAGCTTAGGCATGGGCAGAAAGCGGCGAGGAGGAGAGGAAGGTCTGCCCACACAGAGCGACTTGCGAATATAAAATTGCACAATTTAAAAATGCAGACAGGGGAATGTGGGGCAGCAGGCAGAAGGCATCAGGAAGCCGGTTACGTGCAAGAGGCTGGCCATCCAGGAGCATCGTATGTGTGTGTGTGTGTGTCCCTTTTAGTGTGCTTGCGCATGGGGCGCGTGTCCTGTGCGCCATTTACAATTCACATTTCTAGTTTTCAGTTCAGTTGAGTCATTATTTTATTGCCAAGATACGAGTGCGACTCGGAGGAGTGGGACTGCGTCGACTCACGATGACAATGTCGAAGGACACAGGACAAGGGACACAGGGAGACGGAACACACAGCACAGGACACAGCACAAAGGCGAAAGAAGCGCCAACAACACTTTTGCTTTTCCATTTCGTGCAAAACGGGGTGCAAGTGTGCCGGACTCCGGAGCTACTGCGAGAGCAAGGAACATGGTCACGTCTGTGGGTGGCGCCTTTCCTTTTCGTCCTTTTTGTGCGGCACTGCGGTCCTCCTGCTACTGCTTATCCCCGTTTACCTACGTGTATCTGTGTGTTATTAGATTGTTTCAGCTGAAATGTTATTAGAAAATTTTGAATTCAAATTCAAATGACTTTATACTTGGCCATTTTTAGCGAGCTCCTATTCGTTCGACCCACCCTTACCTGCCGCATCCCTTGTTTTCCTAGTCAACTACGTGCACTTCTTTCCCTTGCATATACGAAAATTTTCCGACTTGTCTCATTCTCATTCTAATGCCATGGTCGAGGTGGCTGCCTTCACGTCCATTAAACCTAAAATGCTTGCACTGCAATTTGGATTGCAGGACGATGATTCAGATTCTGGCGCTGAAAGGGTTAGCCATGAGCAAGGATGAGAGCAAGCAGCTTTCTCTGACTGAGAGACAATTATTGCTAATACGATTTGATTGACTTGAGATATTTTTACAGGTAGATAAGAATAATATATGAGACAGTTGGTGAAGTAACTAATTTAATATGTGAATATGGAACTTTCAAAATTTTAATTCTGTTGAAGAACTTGAATTATGGAATCACTAAATAATAATATTTTTGTTACATGTGTATAATATTTTATAGATTCAATGATTTCATATACTCATATATTTATTAAATAATTTATTATTTATATTAATTAATTTTTATTTAAATATTTAAAATTAGTTGACATTTTATAATGTTTATGTCTCAAGATTGCCAAATAACGAAGATTTATACAAATCCCGTTGACTGCTCAATCCGTTAATCAGTCAGATAGCATAACATAATAACTATAAGGTATATTAGAAAAATAAATTAAATTCTTGATCAGATTTTAAGTTTTGCAAATGAAATATTTTGTATAAATTTATGCTTAATATGCTAAAGCTATACATAAATATTTCCAGTTTCTGAAGTGATAAAGCCCTTTCCATGTATACTCTAACCTCACTTGCATAATACAACTTGGTTTTTCGAAAGCCGAACCACCTAAAACTCGCATTCCTAGCGCAAGCTGTGCTGGGAAAAGGGAACATTTCAAATATTCCTTGCCAGGTTCGTGGCAAAACAAAAGTTTCAATAAAAACCAAACTAAGCTCGAGATGACCAAACTGACCATTGGCCATGGCACAGCCCAGCCCAGTCCAGTCCAGCCCTGGCTAGGTTCAGGTTATTGCCAGTGCAAAACACCCACAGCAACCGCATTCGTTACATGGGCGAAAGGAAGTCGAGCACTTGGATATGCGGGAGGCCGAGGGGGAGCAGTTGCCCTGTGCAACATTTGCCAACTATCTAAACTGAGTTTGAGTTCAGTTGAGGAACTGCGGTAAAGTTTCCAACGTAATCATACAAAACCTTGTTCTGGTTAGGCAGCTGTGGGTGGTTGGCCTCTGCTGTGTCAGGGTGTGAGATGGCTCTCCCTATTATAACAACTGGATATATGTAAATGCAAAAGAGTATGAAAGTGTATGTGTGTGAAAGTGTGTGTGTGTGGGTTCCCTTCCAGTGCAGACAAAAGACGACTTTGTGCAGTTTCTGACATAAGATGGAGAATGTGCCAGGAATGGGCATTGTAGTGGTTAGTGGGGCTTTGGGCAGGGCAAGGGCAGGGCAAGAGCAGGGGCCGGGCAGACTTATGGACGTCTGTGAGGTTGGCGACTGCTGGCCAGCTATTTTATATTCAAATAAAATGAAATTACATTGTTTTCAGCTGGCAAACAATTTGAATAGAATTTTAACTTTTTACTATTATTTTATTTCAATGCATACAATGGCAGTCCACAGCCAGGACTCGGGACCACAAGATGTGTTCATATATGTGTGTGGCATGTATGTGTGTGTGTGTGTGTGCGGGTATGTGTGTGAGCTTGTGTGCATTCCAAGGGTTAAAGCAGCTGCTGCTCTTTGCCATGTACACACAGCTCGAAGGAAGCCAGGACAAATGGCCGTCAACAGAGCTTAGAAGAGAATATTTCTTAATTAGAAAGATTCGAATTAAGTTAAGGGTTGCAGCAACCGAGTTTCTCCTCCTGCTCCACTCGTTGCCCAGTCTCTGTTTAGCTTTTCTAAACGTCATTAATTTCACTTGCAACATTTTAGCATTGCCTTGGGCTGTGTTTTTTGGTTCTGTCCACAGTTCGAGCTGGGATCAGTTTAAATGTTTCGTTTTTTGGGTACCCTTTTTTTTTTTGGACAATTTGCCTCAGTTCGGTTTGGGCACGACGCGTTGGGTACGTGACAAAGCTGGGTTCGGGTAATTTATTATATGCTACGTCTCGAATTTTTTAGTTTTATGAAATTGTTCCGGTCAATTAATTGTAGAAATTGTCACTTAGCCGTAGCCCTTGGGGGTAGCTACAGCCAAGCGCACGTAAGCTGATTGCTAGAGCTGGAGCTTCTAAAAATCTGTAGCTCCATTTTGATTAAAGCTGCTTTAAGTTGCCATCGTAACAGTGCCCCCCCCTCTGCCTGTAATGTCGCAACTGCCAATTCATCTAGCTGGCATGCATGCAGTCAGCGCCAGAATGCATTTTGCTAAACGAAATTTTCTGCCTTTGAAATTGCAATGCACAAATTTTGCGATCCTCCTTTTTTTGTGTTGCGCTGGCTACAAAAAATTTCCACACACACACACACACGCACCTAAAGAGGCAATGACGCTAGCTGATGATACCCCGTACAAAGGGAACTAAGTCAAATGCAGCTAAATAAAATTGTTAACAAATGTCTGCTCTATTTAAAGATGCAGATTGAATATATTCAAAATATTTTATATATTTTAATAAGCATAAATACAAATTTAATTTAAAATTGTATATTCAAATGAATTCTAATATTTATTTTTATGGAGCATCGTGTGCCCAGCTGCTCTTTAATAAATATGCAGGGTATGCACTATATATGGAGATGCATAAATGCGCATGCACACATACACACACATACATACACCTACACAGCGTCATCGATTTGCATCAGACAAAGCCATGCTGCGAATATATACTATACGCTCAGCTCTTAGCCTTTGTTGCATTTTTGCCTAGATTGCAATTTTTTGCAGCCCAATCGAAACTGCAAAAACCCGCTCTGTGCTCAGAGCTCGTCGCTCGGCGCTCGACGCATCCACTAAAAATATTGTACATCAACTGTGGGCCTGGGACCTGGCTGACGCTTGGATTTGGATTTGGGTGCGGCTCTGGCTCTGACTCTGGCTCTGCACCCAGCCAATGCATCTGTGCGCCACTGTCGCTGCAGGGGAGCAGGAGCCGGACATGGAGTCGGGTCGGGACGGAGCGGGGCCTAAAATGCATTTTTGGCTATGCACGACATAGCCACAGCAGGAGTGCAGGGATTGGGGGCAGCTGGAGACCGAACAGAGGCGGCAGTTTGAGTTGCAGAAGAAGTTGGGAAAAAATTTTGAAATTGCATTTCAAATGAATAGACGAACAACGAGCCAATGCCGATGCCATTGCCATGGCCAGACCCAAAGCTACAGCCAGAGCCTGAACCGGAGCCGAGCCGGGCTGTAGCCTGAGCCATCACGGAGGGTCGTTTGGGTCTGGCACGAAAATTGCATTGAACAACGGATGTGCGACGATATATGACATTGCCAGGACAATCTCTCGAGCTACATCTGTGTGCGCATATATGTGTGCGCATATATGTGTGTATGCATGACTAGCAGTGCGAACCGAAAGCCCAGCCCATGCCATTGCCTCCTCCCAGCTGGACTGCCATTTTGATGCAAATGCATTTGAAAGTCATGCATTTGGGCCGCCACTCCGTTGCCTTAAGATGAGCAGACGAACGGTCTGGTCTGGTCTGGTCTGGTCTGGCTGACTAAATGCCATGCAAATTACTTGGCTCTGATTTTTGCACCCTCTCAAAAAAAAAAAAAAAAAGATTCCGAACATTTTTGTATTTGTGTCCCATGATTAAAGCCGAGCCGTCATAAAATTGCACATTAGTCTCACAGAGATCCCAACTGCCTACCCCGGCCTGCTATGACAGGCAAACAAATTTGACCAGAAATCCGGCACACTGACAAAAATCTTTGGCTGCATTCACTTTGAGATTATTTCTGTTTACCCACTGCAGATATATCCTGGGACATATGGATCAACAAATTGAGAAGAGTTGGACTCTTGAAGGACTCTGTCTGGATTCCCTTTATTTATATTTTATGCATTCAATTGATGTATATAATCTGACTTTTGGACATATCTTTGTTACCTATTGGAATTTATATATCTTAGTTAACTTTAAAAATCTGAAACTCTTAAACTCTTCATGATAGTTCTTGACTATATGCAATCTATTAAAACTTTTATTTTTACTTGAACCTCTTGCATTCTCCCTTTCTCTGTGAGCCTCGGTATATTTTATTTTTGTAAATTTAATTTCAAAATTTAGGCTCTCTTAGCCGAATCTCTTTTATTTCTTTATTTTTTGTTCAGGGTATTTTTGGTTTTATTTGCTGTAAAACTGCATTCATGTCTAAACTGCATTGTCAGCTGCAGCTGCGTCCGACTAGGCAGCAGCATGGGCCATTGGGGATTTGGATTTGGGAGAAACTGCATTTATTCTATATGTATATGAGTGCATGTTGGGCATTACGCAATCACTCTGGTCAATCCATCCAGCTATTGCCCTCTATCTCTCTCTCTCTCTCGCTCTCTCTCATTTAGCACATCTTCAGCTATTACTGTCTTTCGTTCTATTTTGTAGTTAAGCTCTTTTAACAATTACTTAGTATTATATGATATTCATATATGTATTGACAAACAATTTTTTCAAATGGTAACTAAAATGGAATTTTATTATTTTAAATTAACACTACACATGCTTATCTAAATATAAGTATATAAATATACGTATACTTAATGCTTTATTTTTTTTTCTGCTTCTCTTTTAATGTCCGGCAGTTTTTGCGTGTATTTGTTTTTGGACACGCTTATTTACTTTAGTCTTTTCAATTGTTCGCCATTGCGGGGCTTCTGTCGCTTTTTTCCCCCTATTTTTGTATTTATTTTCATTGTGGAATGTGGCCCAGGATTTTCATTCATTCATTTCTATTAGTTATTTGTTTTCCGTACGTTTTTGTAATTATTTGCGCGCCTGCCGCATGCTAAATTGCCTATGTAAATATTTGACAATTTTGCATTTGGCCAAAGAGTATCCACTCGCTGCCGCCACACTCTGCCCCGCCCCCTGAACAGACGCCTAATGACCAGCCAAACCAAACCAAACCGAACCATACCAAACCAGACCCAACCCGACCCGACCCGACCAGGCCATCGCACTTCCTGTGTGTCTTCTGGTGTAGCTCTATCCGGTGCAGTCCATGCATTTTGCATTCGCTTGTTTACTTTGCAGTTAGTTCGATTAACCGCACATTTAAGTTGGCCCAAATTAAAGTTTCTGCCAGCAGGCGCTAGCCCAATCGAACGTATCAATTAGATGTTCTTAATTGCAATGGATGTTTCTTTGTTTGCCAAAATGCGAATTGAAAATATCTTTCTCTCGCTCTAACAATTTCTAAAAGCAATATTCATTAGAATGTCGAATGCCTTTAGAAATTGATAT